TATATAAAATTTATGATTTATATAGAGGGAATAAAATAAAGAAAATAAAAAAAATAAGGAAAACATATATATAAAAGAAAAATGTTAATAAAACGTTACTTTAGCAGTGACTCCAATAAGATTATCAGCATTAACAAATAATTTATCTTTTAATGATATTATTATGAAGTGCATTAAATCAAGATTGGATCGGACAAAATTAACAAAGTTTTCAACGTTAATTTTATCCAAAGTTGCATCTATTTCATCCAAAATAATAAATGGTGCAGCTTCATATCTACAATATGAATGTAATAGGTATTACGTTTAAACATATCGCAAGTTAATTAGTAAATATTAAGAAAAGCTGTACCTGTGCATTGCAAATAGTAAAGCTAGAACAGCAAATACTTGTTCTCCTCCTGAAAGACTCGATAAGACATTAAAATTTTTCCCTGGTACCATGCAACTGTAATTTATGTCGTTTAAATATGGTTCTTCTGGATTGTGCGGAACAAGGAAAGCTTGAGCAGTCTTATTATTAAGTAAATACTGTAAAGAGTAATAAGATATAAAACAAAAATGATTTAAGTTAAAATAAAATAAATATCTCTTACTTTATAAATGTAATCTACATGAGAAGTAAGATAGTCAAAGCATTTCATAAATCTATTAATCCTTTCTTCTTTTACTTTTGTAAATTTGTTTTTTGCAATATTAGCAGTTTTGCGTATATCTTTTGCAATTGTATTTATTATGTTCAACTTCTCATTTACTAATATCAAGTTTTCATTTGCCTGTATTATAATTAATTAATTGTTAATAGTTAAAAAATAATTACTTACAACTAAATAATATATATAATATATTATCTTATCAAAATATATTATTGATATTTTTATAAATATTACGTATGAATTAAAACCTTCAAATTTGGAGCCGGTATTAATTTCAATTTATGTTTTATCACATCAATGTTTTTTACTAATTTATTTTTTATGTTATCGAATTGATCTTTATTAATTGTTTGTAATTCATGCAACAGAGATGAAAAATTTATTTTTGATAAAATATTATCTTCACTTTGTCCTACTGTATTTGAGCTTGAAGAATTTGTTGAAGATTCCCATACATAATCATTTAGGGTATTTTGATTAGATATAGGAATTATTATACCTTCCATCTAATGTACAAAAAAGTAACAAAATATTTAAGTTAAATTTTCTGCAATTTATATATTATAATTTATATTTATCGATATATATAAAAAAAATTAATTTGATAAAGAAATTTCACCTGACAGTCTTTAAGTATACTATCCGATTCTGTTTTTTTTTGTTTACTTTTCAATGATATTATCGTATGTTCCCTTCTTGTTTCCAAAATTAATTTGGTAATTATACCAATCTGATGTCTGCATAGCGCTACTTCGTTTTTCATTTGAATTACTTCCGTCTTTAAATTTGTATGAATGTGACTTAAATTTTGTAATTCATTGTTCTGTTTATTAATAACATCTGTAATTGCAGACTCTTCTTCAAATGCTATTTTTAATTGTTCTTCAGCAGTTTGAATAGCAGTTTTATACTTTGTTATCTCATCTATGATAACGTATATATACAAAAAATTAATGTATTAAGTATATATAATAACATATTAACAAATTAATGTGCTAAATATTTTAAAATTATAATCAAGTATTGAAGTAATATAAAACCTTCTGTATTATGATGTATTTCTAAATCTAATGCATTTTTTATGCAATTACATTGATTTTCTAACTCCATTTCTCGTTTTTTATGTTGCCCACGTATTCTATGAAAGATATATGTTATAAAGTATATATAATATTATTTATTTAATATAAAAATAATGTAATAAAACAAATACCGCAATCTGCCATTTTCATATTCTCGAATATCGGCAACGTTAATATTTTTACAAAATATAGAAAATATTTTATTTTCCACTTTGTTTATTTGATTTTCAATATTTTGGATATTTTCCTGTCTGTTATTCATAATTTTCTGAATTGATTCTATATTATCCTATAAACATAAAAATAAAAAGAAATATAT